TTCACATTGGAAGTGAAAATAGGTAGTTTGGTTGTTGTTGAAATGGCTCTTGTACCCCAGACTGGTCATAGTATGGCACAAGCTTGTTGCGCCTTTCTAATTCTTGCACTGATGTTCTCTTCAGTTCCCCCATTCTTGCTGATAACACTACCCAAGTATACACACTGATCTACCTCTTGCGCTGCTTTTTCTTCAATTGTAATTTCAGCTTCTCTTGAAATTCACTCCTCTGATAGGATCACCACATTCTTAGCCAAGTCTTCTCTTAACTAATCTTGAGGCCCACTCACTCAGCTGTTTCCTGTAGGGCATCTGTCTTCTCTTGCATATGCTCTAATTTGTCAGCAAGCAGGGCTAAGTCATCTGCAAACTCTAGATCTTCAAGTTTCCTAGTTTGAGTCCATTGGAGTCCCCTTCCTGAGTCAGCATATGCTGTTTTTGTGACCCAGTCTAGGACAATTAGGAAGAGTAATAGAGAAAGAAGGCAGCCTTGGTGTACACCTGTTGTGACCTGGATTTTTTCTGACAATTTTCCATCATGGATGACCTGGCAGATTTTTGTTGCAAAGAGGGTTTATTTGGAGAGAATTTGAATCCATCATTGTGATGGATAGACAAAGTGCTTGCCTTTTCTAAACATCCCAGAATTCAGTTACTTAAGGTTTAAACTCAGGTAGCTAGGAGGTGTTGTCAGGGAGCCAGAAGAGCCAATGGGAAAAGGTGTTGAAATTTAAATGGAAAGATATACCTGCATGCTGTTTTCTTTATGTGAGTATTTAAGCCAGGAGTTGGGGGAAGAATACAAATTGAACCAGAAAGAACTATCATGCCTACAAAGAATACTGGGCATGGAAATGGACTGGACTTTGAAGCACGGATCTTAAGTAGATGGGGAGAAATGTCTATTTGGTTGTGATCAGGTTATTTTCCTTGTTCTGTTGTTTGGTTAAACTTCTCTGTGCCAAATCCATGTGCCTCCCCCCATACATTGTATTTTAAACTGTGTTTTAATCTCTTCTTTTCTCAGTTCTATAACACCTAGCAGCTGAAAGTATGCTTTATCAGGTATAGCTTTTTATTTTGTTAATAAAAACTCCTTTTTTAAGGCATGATTTGATTTTTGTGTCCTAAAGGATAACAGGAGGTCTATGTATGCATGCCTAAGACTGAGAATGCAGTTTTTCTCTTTTTATTCCAAGCTCTCTTATGGCAAAAGAGCTTTGGGTATCCCTCTGGAAGATGTGCAAGTGCTTCTTCCTTGGTTCAAGAAGAAAGGTGTTTTTTCCCACCATTTGGTGACAGCTACCTCCCAAGGCCAGGAAATCTGTGATCTTTGGAAGCTTTTAAAATGAAGCCTATAGAGGCAAGGTATTTTTAAGGCTTTGGAGTGAGATAATGGGGAACAGCCTTGACAATCATGAAACAAATATTAACTTGATCATTTTTATTCTGCTTTAATAGAAATTTGAAAATTCTCCATTCAAACAGATTTAGGCAAGTTATTAATGGAATGGCCTGGTGCTCAAGAGTACAGAAAGCCACCATTAACCAAATATGAAATCTGTTACAATTATATAGTACTAACCAAGTGTTCCATAAGAGAGAAACTTGATCACTTAATACACTTTTTCAAGCCTCAGAGCTGCTTTGGACACTATAGAAGAGGAGTCATTCTGTGTAATCTGCTTTTCTTGAACTGCAAAAGAATGTGATAGAGACTGGAGACTAATGATTGTGTTGTGGAAATATCTGAGAAATGAAAGAAGGACATGAATCCATGCTTGTGATTCTTGTTTAAAAACAGAAACTTTAAACAAAGTTGGTGGAGAATTTGTGTTATATTGCAGTAATTTTGTCTTCTGGTTTTGATGATTCAGTGGTCTCTCAAGCTCTGATTTTTGTCATAGCGACCTATAGCTCTACTATAGTGAGGACTTGGCTCATGTATTTCAGAACTAAGTTACTTTTACTTAAGTGTAATTTTCTTACTAAATTATCTAAATTGCATAAATGTTTGGAGTTCTTTCTGCGAGGGAAAAAGTCTGCTAGCGATCTTTTCACTTTTTGCAAAAATTTCATGAAACTCTTAATAAACCCTCGTATAAAAGCCATTTTGTGCACACGCTCACCTTTTGTTACTGCAGTAATGTGATGTGTTTATTAACATATTTTCTCTCTCTCTCTCTCTCTTTCTCTCTCTCTCTCTCTATATATATAAATGTTTTTCCTGATGCGTGACAGAATGATATAATCAGAGGGGGGTTGGCAAGCGTAGTGAGCACAGGGTACAGCCTTCTAGTATTCTATAATATACCTTTTTAATTTTTAAATGTATTTGGAATATAACTCTAAATATTTGTTGATCCCGTTACAAGTTATATAGTCCACAAAATATCTAAACCTGAACAGCAATGTTTTCTTCTCATTTTCTCTCCCTTTTCATGCATATGCATACTCCCTTTCAAACTTATTTACATCCAGAATTAGGTCAAAATAAAAGTCATGACCCTTCTGAACACTGAGCTTCAGCATTTCCTTTTTCCATATCCATTGTTGCTGATGTCATAGTATAATAAATACAGGCATATTGCAAAAGTCAAGGGAAATGAGAATGCAGGGAGGGGAGAGAAAGAAAGAAACAAACAAAAGGAGGAACTGGATAAATGGGATAGAAGCCAAGCATCTACAAAGCAGGGATGTCCAAGTGTAGTTGAGTATATAATAAGCCTAGGCTTATCGGTTAATCTTATTGACTATACACATTTCCCGCTCCCCTTGCTGCCTCTGTAGCTGACTTCCCACGAGCACTGGATCCACAGAACCACCTTTCCTCTCCCCTGTGCTGCTGCCTGTTAGACAGACTGCAGTGAGGAGGGTGAGGGGGCAGGCGGGAGCCGGTACTCACAGGAAACCAGCTTTCAAGCCAGCTCCTTGCGTGTATTGGCGCACGCAAGCTGCTTCCCCGTCTCCCCTGCGCTTCTGTCTCACCATCAGAGTCAGCAGTGGGGGTGGGGGCGGGGGCAGAGGAGGCTGCCGTAGAACAGTCTGATGCCGATGCAACCTCTGTCTGCTGGGAGTCCAAGGTCTCCACAGACAGAAACTGCTGCCACCTTGTGCTACTGCTTCTGTATCAGAGGCAGCAGTGCAGGGTGGTAAGGGGCTCTGCCACCGGGACCATAGAATATTTGTGTAATCGATAATATTTTGTGCAGTTACACGACTGTTCAATTAATTGCTATCTAACATCCCTAGTACAAAGAAAGTTAGCAAGGTTGGCACAGGTAACTGCAGACTTAACTACTGTAGCAGAGAAGCTGCCTTCATCTTCCCTATCCATGAATGGATCTCAAGGATTTTTAGGATGCCTAAAACAAAAGCAATCTTATGTAGGAGCATCTACTAGCTCAGTTCTTCTCACACTTTTCTTAGTTTTTCACTAACTGTTCGCAGGTGTTTCTAAAATATTTAGGGGAGATGGGACAGGGAGGAAAGAGGGAATGATAGTGGAAAGAAAAGAATCCCCACATTCTTTGCAATATTTAATATCTGGGGACAGGCAGACCTATTAGCTGATCTTCTTCTGATTTAGTAGCAGGGGCAGATGCTAAGTAGAAAGGATTTAAAATACTCTAATAGCATGGCACAGATACAATCAAAATGGGTCTCTTAGTCAAAATGAGCCACGTACAGTAAAATCTGATGCAAATATTTTAAAGACAGGAGTAAATGCATGTATTTCTTATTCCAGAAAGGCCAATATGCCACTGTGTCAATACTAGTAAACTTTTTTATTCAGATAAAATAATTAATTTTTTGTGAGAATTAAATGTCAGTATAGAACAGGCCTAGGCAAAATATGGCCCATGGGCCAGATTCGGTCTGCCAAGCCACCGGATCTGGCCTACGGAGGCAGTGGGGAGCCCCAGGCAGGCTCTCCTGCTTGCCTGGCAGTCCCGCATGCCACTCAGAAACATGGCTGCGGGGCGCTTTCTCTTTGAGTCCGGAGGGAAAGGGGGAAGATTCAGACGCCGCTCCCACCCCCAGCACAATCCCATTGCCCAGTTTCTGGACAGACACTGGCCACTGGGAACTACCTGTTTGATTAATAGGCATTCACAAAACACAGCCCTCCTGCTCACTCAATCAAGCACATGGCTGAGCAGGCAAAAAGATTTTAAGCTGTGCAAGCCTTTAGCTCTGTAGGTGGGAAGGAAAATAAGTAAGTCTCCTGGCGAGAACCTGCCTCTGCCACCTCAGCCCCTGCCTTCCCCAACCCTCTGCCCCACACTCCTGCCCCACTGCTCTACATTCATCCATAACTCGCCTCCCCCCCCCGCCCCAGATTGGGCATCCCAGTCTCCAGCCCGAGATCACAATCCCCTCCTACCCTAGGTAACATACTGTTAGTGGGACTCTAAAGTTATAATGTTGATCTGTTCATAATGATTATAGTGCAATTGCTGTGTACAGAATTTTGGTAAGGTGCACTCTTAAAATGGCGATTGTCATCAGTGACTGCTCTACATTCATCCATAACTCGCCTCCCCCCCCCGCCCCAGATTGGGCATCCCAGTCTCCAGCCCGAGATCACAATCCCCTCCTACCCTAGGTAACATACTGTTAGTGGGACTCTAAAGTTATAATGTTGATCTGTTCATAATGATTATAGTGCAATTGCTGTGTACAGAATTTTGGTAAGGTGCACTCTTAAAATGGCGATTGTCATCAGTGACTGGAAAACAAAATGGAGATTACCATCAGAACTCTGTGGAAAGATCTGACTTGTTTTCCACCAGAAGTCTTTGCGCTCATTACCACTTATGCAAATGGCACGCAAAAGCTGTGCACAAGGCACAAAGAGGCTTGCACCAGGCATGCAGATCCTTTGCACCCAGCCCGAAATTGTGCACACCACCCTACACAAGTTTTCCCGCCAAAGGTTCTACAAAAGCACTGCACCCCAAGGGAGGTCAGTGTTCTATCTGTGTCTGTGAGGACAGCGTGTGTCAGAGAGGGGGAGCGTCTATGCCATTGAGGGCTCACTTCCCTGTATCAAAGGATCAGGATCCAATGACGGTTACCCTTCAAGAGTAGCATTCCAGCCTGACAGCGCCACAGAGGGAAAAGGCAGAGGGATCATTCACAACTGCGGTGGGTTCCCACAGGGCTCAGCACTGGTGATCTGGGATACACCAAACAGAGGTGTTTAATCTCTACCCGCCTCAGACCATAACATTGCCATCATCCCTGAAACACTCCGTTGTGGTGAAGGCCCAACGAGAATCGTACCAGAAGTGTACCACCATTCATCATCAGCATTGGCTCTTGTGGCAACAGCCTAGGATTGATCCATCTACAAGGGATCACTTGCGGTTCCTCTCTGAGGGCTAACCTGAGCCCAAAGGTAGAAGGTCACAAGCACCAGTGCCACCATTGGTGACACAGAGACTTGTGTAACATATAAATACCTTACCTGTAATGGGGATCTTTCTGTCTTCTCTTTTGTTTTGGGGTGGGGGTTGGATTTGTTGGTTGTCGTTCTTCTTCTTCATGCACTTGTCAATTTAAATTCTTATAATATATTAGTGAACTTTAATCTGGACTCCAAGCATGTTTCTTTTGGGGAGAAATCACCGGTGATCAGATTTGGTGTCAGGGGCCTCTCCTCTGGTAACCAGAGCATTTAACATCATCAATCAGATCCCTTATCCTACATTCTAAATTAATTCAAAAGAGTCTGCTTGTTATTGAGACTTTGGGGGTAACAATACCAAAACCTTGCACCCCAGTTCCCTGCCCTTGGTCACAACTACCTCCTTTGCCCAAACTCCCTCCCAGACTCCATTTTTCCCTCCTGTACCCCAATCCTTTACCCCAAGCTCCCTCCTGCACTCAGCCTCCATCCCAGACCATGCACCTTCTCCATTAATACCATTGAAGAGTGTGGCCCTCGACTACTTTCCAAAATCCTAGGAGTGGCCCATCAAAAATTATTGCCCACCCTGGTATAGAACAAATCTTTCACTTAATCTTGTATCAAGAAATTGTGTACTATAACATATTTTTTCTTCAGATTTAGTATATAAAATCTTCTAGAGTCCTTTTAGGAATCAACAGATCTTAATAGAATTTAGGGATGTGTGTATTATTTTACATAGCAAGACATTAAAGAGGACTAATTGCTTTTATTTTAAGAGCTGCTGTGCATATAGGACAACCAGATTTCCTAAACCATTTAGCACAGTCTGTATTCCGTAAGGTACAGAGAGCAGATTAGATGAAATCTTCATAAAATCTTCATTTGGTATAAGCAAATAATGGATGTAAACTTTTTTCAGTGTGCCATTATTTAGGGGAGGAAATATCAATAGAAATCTAACTTTTAAGTAATGATATTGAAATACAGTTAAAATAATTTTCACCTTGTTGATCAGTATGAGGTAAGAATTAAGGAGAAGAGTAAAACGTGATAGATGAAATAAAATTTTATTTCAGCTATAAAAGCATCTTTGTCTTTCAGCACCCCAATATAAGAAGAACTAGCATGTTTCCTCTCCTCAATTTGGTGATATATTTTTTTCCCATTACAAGCGTCTGTGCAAAACTTAGGCACCAACTCTGTGGGCGTTCCAGGGCTGGTGCATCCATGGAAAAAATATAGTGTGGCTGCTGGTGGGTGTTGAGCATCATGCCACACAGCATCCATCACATGTCAGATCCCAATGCTCCCTCTGTGCCTCCCACAGCTGCCGGAACTCCTGCAGCACCGTTGGCTGCCCCTGGCCACTGACAAAACAGGGCAGCAGCCTGGACTGGTGCAGAGATCCTGGACCTCATCGAGGTCTGGGGGGAGGAGACTAACCTCCAGGATCTCCGCACCAGGAGAAAGAATGCCAATGTCAATTGCCAGATGGCCACCAGCCTGTCCCTCAACCAGGTGTGCATGAAAATAAGAGCTCCAGCAGGCCCGCAACAAGGCCACAGAGAGCAGTGTGGATACTCAGGGGCGGCTCCTCACGTGTCACTATTACGATCAACTCCTTGGAGGGGGGGCAAGTCACTTTCCCCACCCGTTGGTGAGTCTGGCCAGGAGATGCCCAGCATCAGCCTCCGAAAGGGTGGGTTTGAGGAGGAGTAGGCCAGTCAAGCCACCATGCCCACTAGTCAGGAGCTGCTCTTCTACACAGAAGGTAGCTGAGCCACCCCGTTCTGCCATCGTCTGAACTGAGACCTTCGGTGTCGGTGCAGAGATTAGGGCTAGGCTTCATGTACAGTGTCTCCTGGGATGACTGCCCTTGTAACTTTTCTTCACTGCTGGACTAGCTGTGAGCGTGCCGCATCCACCATCTCCTACGCCATTTTCCTGAGTGGATGGAGGAGCTGATGGAGGAAGCAAACCTGAGAAGACCTGCTGCGGAATGGCCTGCCTCCAGTCCCTCATCTGGGGGCTGGATGAGGAGCACCAGGAGTGGGCTGCCTACTGAAAGGAGCGCCAGGCTGACAGGGAGCAGCAGAAGGCCATCTGGGACCAGTTGGTGCACCAGCATGAGGCCATGTGGGCTTGGAGAGGGACCATGCACTGAGAGTGACTTCATGTTGCCCGTGAAGGTGGCAAGTAGAAAGGCAACAATGTATTTGCCTCTAAATAAAATACACATCTGGTGTAGAAAGGAGTCACTCTCAGAAGAAAATGTAAATGTATCACCTGATCAGGTTTTAATCTCTGGGCTGTATCCAACACCACTGACTCCAGTGCTAAGGGATTTTGATATAACAACTTAGTAAAATAAATATGGAAATGAATGTTGTGCCTCAATTTTTGTTTCTGGACACTTCTGTCATCTCCAGCCAGCTGTGTGCGCTGCGGCTGGAGCTGGAGTCATGGTGAGGAGAGAAGGGTACATGTGGTGACTGGGTCAGACAACGATTGGGGAACACAGGGTTGAGCTGGAAAGGTACAGGGAAATCAAGGGGGAAATGATGATGGGAGATGTATATAGTGGTTTTGAATGGACAGGAAGAATATCAGGGCTACAGTGCAGGGCTACAGTGGCCTGGAGCTTGCTCAGATTCATGCTGATTTGGAGTGAGAGTGGAAAGAAGAAAACAGTGAGTAAGGCTGCTGACAAATAACACATTCATGGTGCTTTCACCTGCCTAAAGTGGAGGTTCAGGAGTCTCCTCCCCCACCTGGACATGAGCAAGCGCAACATTCCCTATGTTTGGTGGCACCCATCCAAACAAGCACACATGACCTCAATATTGGTGCACAAGACAAAACTTACTCTGCTCATGGATGGAAAATCTTAGAGGGAACACTGCTCCGCCCTACTCCCCCCAACTTTCCCGCCTCTCCCTTGGCTTCCCCTCTTAGCCCCCCTCAGGGGCCACCGGGGCCCCAGAACATGTGGCGGTGGGACCTCTCTTGGTCAGCCAAAGCCTCCCAAGCTACTTGAGGCAAGTGCCAGTCTCAGCCACATCCCTGAGCCCCCTCCACAACCTCCTCCTCCTTTCCAGTTTCTTTACCCAGTCCCTCCCCTGTTGTATATACCACCAATAAACAAGCAGAGGTGTTTTTCTTAAAGGCTTTTTTATTTGTTCAGGATGGAGGAGTTAAGGCACACAGGGGCAATGCAGGGACTCCTTGTAAAAAGGCCCAGGGGAAGAGTCTCACAGGTGGCCTTGGCTGAAACTCTCCCTCAAGGCCTCCTGGATGAGCACAGCCCCTTCAGGTGCTCATTGAATGGCACTGGTGTCCGGCTGCTCGTAAGCCCTGGCCAGCCATTCAGCCCCTCGCCCCCACCCTGGCAGGAAAGTCTTCCTCTTGCTCTCTCAGAGGTTGTGGTGCACACAGCATACCGCCACCACATAGGGAATGTTGCGCTTGCTCATGTCCAGGTGGGTGAGGAGACTCCTGAACCTCCTCTTTAGGCCGCCAAAAGCACACTCCAAAACCATGTGGCACCTGCTCAGCCTGGTATTGAAGTTCCCCTTGATGAGGTCCAAGCTACCCATGTAGGGCTTCATCAGCCCGGGTGAGCAAGAGATAGGCTGCATTGCCCAGGATGTAGATTGGAATGTCCATGTCCCCGACCCTACTGGTGCGGACGGAGAAGAAAGTGCCAGCGTGCATCTTCTGGGACAGGCAGAAGTTCTAGAAGACGTGGGCATCATGCGCCTTCCCCGACCAGCCGACATTAATGCCCACGAATTGTCCCTTGTGGTTCACCAGGGCCTGCAGCACCATAGAGAAGTACCCCTTCCTGTTGATATTGTCCGAGGCACAGTGCTCGGGGGGTCAGAATGGGGATATGAGTGCTGTCTATGGCCCCTCCGCAGTTGAGGGCCTGCCACAGTGGTGTCAGTGTTCCCCAGAGTGATGACCCTCTGCAGCAAGATGTTATTGATAGACTTGATTACCTGCAGGCCATGACCGTGGATTTCCCCATGCCAAACTGATTCCTGAGAAGTAGCTATCTGTCATGGCGAGCTTCCAGAATGTGATGGTGATGCGTTTCTGCAGGGGGATGGCGGGTTGCAGACGAGTGTCCTGTCATCTGAGGTCAGGGGTGAGCCACTGAGAGCTCCAGGAAGGTGGCCTTCCACATATGGAAGTTCTGGAGCCACAGCTGGTATTCCCATTGCTGCAGGACAATGCAGTCCCACCAGTCGGAATGGGTCTCTTCCTGCCAGAAGCAGCATTCCACAGAGTGCAGGGGATTAAGGGTTATTTTCAGCAGTAGGAGTGCCAGGACCTGGGTGAAGAGGTCCTCCGGTTTGGGCTGTTTGGTGTTGTGCTGAAGCAACATGTGGGCAGCATGGATGAACTGTGCCCATGAGGTGCAGTATGAGGCCCCTGAACCTGGCACTGCTTTGCAGCAGCTCCAGCTCCATGCTGAAAATGCTGTGGCATCTGTAAAGTCAAACAGAGCATACACTGTGAGCAAGGTGATAGGCAATGGAGGAGTGGTATGTGAGACGTAGCTCTAGAGAGGAGCCCCTGTAAGCTCCTGACTCAGCTAGCCTCAGGATGCAGCCACAGGAAGTGTCTGCCCCTCTGGTGCCTTCCCCAGGGTGTTTCTGTGGGCTTTAATTCCGATGCAGGCTCCAATCAGTGTGGACACAGTATTCAAAATAATTCTGTGATCTTTCAATGCTGCCTTGTAGTGTTGACATGCTATTTCAAAATTATTATTTTGAGAGTTATTATTTTGAAATAAGTTTATTTTAAAATGATTTCCTATTGTAGACATGCCCTTAGAGGCATAATCATAACAGTAGTATAAAGATATGTTTCCAATTCAATGAACTGTTGTAATGATCTATGATAGTACATAGTACAGAAAGTATAGTTAAAATGTATATGGTGATGGCCCTAATCAGTTTCTCATTGCTACTTGGTGCGATCTTAATATTAATGATTTTCGGTCTTAAATTCTGTGTCTGAGCTAAACAAAATGAAATTTATGACATCTTTAAAGATTTGTACTGAAATTATCTTTCTTTTAATGATATTAAAAGAAAGTTTGTCATTTCCCTCCCTGAATTTGAAATATAATGAATGTTTGTGAAAAGAATGCTGCCTAGTGGATAGAGCTGGAGCCTACTGGGATAAATTCTTGACTCTTGCTCCCAGCTCTACCACTAAACTTCTGTGTCCTTAAGCAAGTTGCTTCACCTTTTATGCTCATTTCATTATCTATAACTCAGAGAATATCTACTTTTATAGGATTAGTTCATCAGTGGACCTGGTTCTATCAGTGAAAAGACTCCCTTTCAGCGGTCTTGGGATCAGGCTCATAAGTCACCAAATTCTTTGAAAGCCTAAAGTCAGAGCTGCTTGAAAATGCAAAGTAAAGGTATCTAGAACTGTGCTTCATAACCATGTATTTTATTTTTCATAGGAAATCAAGATTTTCCTAATATTTTGGCAAGCCATGGTTTAGAAAATACTAGACATCAGACTGTCAATCACACAGAAGGTGGTATGCATCCAGAATATATTGCTTATGGATTGGTTCCTGTCTTTTTCATTATGGGCCTTTTGGGAATCCTCATCTGTCATGTGCTTAAGAAAAAAGGGTATCGGTGTACAACAGAGGCTGAGCAAAAAATTGAAGAGGAAAAACTTGGAGAAAAGATAGGTAAGTAACATCTCTTCCTGTTAATTTTTATGCCGTATGTTACTAATCTGGAACGATCCCTCTTCATATGTTATAATATTCTCTATTAAATAGTTTCTATCCTTATGTTGTGTGGAAAAGCTTGAGAATGAGAATTTTAAGTTTTAAACACCAGACGGGAAACAGAAGTCTAAAATTTAGTATTTTTATAAAATCTTTAATATTGAAGATCATCTCATGATTTTAGGATTTTTGAATGCTTATGGCTGGTAGTACTTGATGCCTCGATTCCTCCTAGTGGTAGTGAAAGGCACTGAATTAACAGACTTAGTTAATTAGCTTGCATGGACACTATATATACTGTAGTCTATTGTGGTGAACAGTATAGCAGTACAAGCTTCTGTGTGCAACTCATTAATTTGCTACTAGTCAAGAGTGAGGCATTTCATACATAGTACCTTCATCTCCAGACCCCATGCTCCTGAAGCTGAAGCCTTGTCCACTAGGCCACTGGAGAACCCGCTCCACCTTCCTACCTTCACCAGGTGACAGCTCAGGCCATGGAGAAGCTGGTGGGGGCTGGAATGTATATTCCTTTTGCTCTCTTAAAATTGAGGTGGAAAGGATGTAAATTATAAAAATTTGATTTTTCAATTCTATGAAAATTTTGAGTTTTCAAGGAGTATTAGATAAAAAACATAACATATATGGAAAGTAAGAACTCAGTCCTGATGTCTTTAGTGAGGGGATCTTGTCTAAATTAGGGATGTTAAATATAGGTTAATTGAATAGTTAATTAACCTCATGATTTTTATTGGTTATGTGATGATTCTATAGTCCCCGGGGGTGGGGCTGGCAGCCAGTGCACTCCAGCCCCACTCCCAAGGAGCTCCCTGCTACTCTGTGCTGCTGCCACTGTATCAGAGCAAACAGTGTGGGGTGCCAGGTGGGAGCTGGTCCTCAAAGGGAGGCAGTTTAAAAACCAGCTCCCCTCATGGACCAACTGCCTGTCACCCTGCACTGCTGCCTCTCATACAGAAGCAGCTGCATGGGGTGGCTGCAGTCTCTGTCCAGGGTAGGGTCTGAGCTCCTAGCTCTGGTGCGTGCTGGAACTGAACCAGGCTGCCTGCCTGCTTGGCTCCTAATACACTTCAGATGCAGAGCCACAGCGGTGATAAGTCCCAGACCTGGCACGAGCCAGAACTAAGACGGGTTGGTCTGGCTGGTTCTTGATACACAGCAGATCCACAGCAGGGGTAGGTACCAGACCTAGTGCAAGATGGGATTAAGCTGGGCTGCTGGCCAGACTGCTAAAAAATTTACTGGCGGAGAGGAGGGGGAAATATGTGTAGTCTATAGCATTAACCTATAAGCTTTTGCTGATCAGTAAATTGGTTAATCAACTACACTATTACATCCCTAGTTTGAATAACGGCTGCAGGACCTGTCTTTGGGATTGTTACTAAAATTCATATAAAGTTTATTTTAATAAGATAGTGATATAATACAGTACTTACGTTTCATTCAGTGAGATGTTTACCATATGAAATACATTTCTAAGAAGCTGTAATATTGACTACATGTTATTATTTTTCCCCATAGAAATGAATGAAAGCATAAATGACAATAACGATACTGTGGGGCGAATCGTCAACATCATTATGAAAAATGAAGGTACAGTTTAAAATATGTGTACAATGTTCTTCATAAAAGATATGGCTCTTTGTGATGCATCTGGATATTATGTAGCTTTTTATTATGTAGCTTTATAGTGTTTTCATCTTTCTGATATACTCATGGACTCAGCTGACATAGCTGCCCAATTGTTTGCTACTGCACTAGTATTGTGATATATATTGTGATGGCACCTTTCAGGATTCCCTAAGGAAGTGTAAAATATGGTGGAGGAGCTCTCATTTGAGGAACAAAATCTCTTTTCTGAACTCTGACAATTCTTTACGCTCACTGAAAGATTCCCAAGTCACTATAAAATCCCTTGGTGTATATGTACCACAGCCAAAGTGAAGATTGGGAAAATATCAGTTCCCTCTATAGTCTCACCCTCAGCCATACCATCCACATCAGCAGTTTGACAACCAACGCCGTCATCATCAGCTTACCAACGGATGCAGTCAGTTTCCTACACAAGGGACTCTGTCCCAAACTCCCTTTTGTAAGCATCCTTTCTGTAATGCCATCTACATGCCAGCTGTTTGGCAAATGCCTTGATCCATTTTTACCATCTTGGATGCAGACAGATGGGTCCTGAAAATAGGTATCTCCATCTCCTTTCCTAACTGTACTATCCTGCTAACCTCCTTCATAAGAACATAAGAACAGCTATACTGGGTCAGACCAAAGGTCCATCCAGCCCAGTATCCTGTCTGCCGACAGTAGCCAATACCAGGTGCCCCAGAGTGACTCAAATAGGTAATAATCAAATGATCTGTCTCCTGCCATCCATTTCCACCCTCTGACAAACAGTGTCTAAGGACACCATTCCTTACCCATAGTGGCTAATAGCCATTAATGGACTTAATCTCCATGAATTTATCTACTTCTCTTTTAAACCCTGTTATAGTCTGAGCCTTCACAACCTCCTCAAGCAAGGAGTTCCACAGGTTGACTGTGTGCTGTGTGAAGAAGAACTTCCCTTCTCCTTTGAGTGGTCCCCGTGGGTGCTCCTCTCTGGGTGCTGGTGCATCCTCGCACCGGTGACCGGAGACTTTTCTAGCAGTTTCCACTGCGCCAATAACAAACCAGTTCTTTAAGGGCCTGAAAAACACTTTCCCACCCGTCCGCACTCCGGTCCCTGTCTGAGATCTGAACCATGTTCTAAAAAGCCTGAGAGAGCCACCGTTTGATCCTCGAGCCTCCTGCTCTTGGTCTCATCTTTCCACGAAGGTGTCCTTCCTGGTCGTGATAACCTCCAATAGGAGGGTGAGGGAACTTGCTGCCTTGATGGCTGAACCCCCATACACGGTGTTCAGGAAGGACAGAGTGATACTCCAACCCCACCCGAAGTTCCTCCTCAAAGTCCCTTCTCCCTTCCACGTCAATGAACCCATACACTTACCTGCCTTTTTTCCTAAGTCGCATGCCGATCCAGCTCGGGTCACATGGCACACTCTCGACATCCATAGAGCACGAATCCTCTTCCTGTTCTTCGGGACAGCTCGGACAGGCGATGGTGGCCTAAACCCTAGCCTAAACTGTGTGGGGCTGTTCGAACGTCTGTGCCTCGGCTGCCATCCATGCAGGGAAGAAGGCCTCCCCACTCTGCTCCACAATGTTGTGGAGCACGCAGCACGCGGCCAGTACCTCCATTGCATTCTGCTCACCCATCTCGAGACTGGTGAGCAAACAACGGAAGCAGGCTTTTAAGCGGCCGAAGGCGAGCTCCACCTGATTTTGGGCCCGGTTGAGGTGGTCGTTGAACTGGGCCCGGTTCTGGTACGGCCGCCCCGTGTAGGGTTGCATTAGCCAGGGCAGCAGGGGGTAGGCCATGTCCCCGATGACGCAGATGGGCATAGGCACATCCCCGACAGTCAACTCCCGCCGGGGGAAGTAGGTGCCCGCCTCCAGCCTGTGAAACAGTCCGGAGTTGTGGAGGATGCGGGCGTCATGTTCCCTGCCGGACCAGCCCGAGTAGACATCCAGGAAGCGGCCCCGGTGGTCCACGAGGGCCTGGAGAACAATAGAGCAGTACCCCTTCCTGTTCGTGAAATGGGCTGCTCGATGCTCCGGGTTGGGACCCATGAGATCCAATATAAATATTTTTTCTATAATCATTTGCAATTATTGACCTAGATTTAAATTGTAAATGCAAAAAGTAGCTCATAAAACCAGAATTGCTATTCTATGTAAATCTCATATTGTTCTCTTCAGGGACTGGCTAAAATCCTCCAAGTGATCTCTTGGTACATAGACAATATATTGCAATAGAGATTCACACCACATTTTGCATACTTCAGTGCTATGGTTCTATAGCATGGACTTACAAATAGTCACATTAGAGAGCTAGAAGTCCCATTATATCAGCTATTCCATCCTACCAATGCAGGTTTACTCTTAATCTAATATTTTCTAGTACTTTGTCCGGTGTGGTTTGAAATACAGAATTGTGCATGTAAATGCTAATGAAACATGCCAAATATTCTTAGAAAAATTATAGTTGATATTATTCCAAACAATCCGAGATTCCCTCTGTTCTCACACATGCGCGCGCGCGCGCGCACACACACACACACACACACACACACACACCAGGGCCCCCTTGCCCCACCCACCAGCACGCCTGTGCAAGGGACGGACGGCCCAAACCCCTGGGTGACCCAGCCTGGATTCTTGGCTGCCCCTGGGCATGGAGTGCAGCACCCTCCCCGCACCCCACTCCCCCTGGGACTTACCTCCATCACGATGACACCGACGGTGGATCTTCCCACCCCGAATTGCTGTGCCACTGAGCAGTAGCTGTCCAGGGTGGCCAGCTTCCATAGCGCGATGGTGACCCTCTTGTTGCTGGGGGTGGGGGCATGCAGCCGGGGGG